GTTTCGGAGTGGCTATCATGATGTCCTCTTGAAAAGCATCGAATGTTTTCAGGCAGTGGGAACCAATCTCCTCCAGCATCAGGATCATGACAACAAGATGAATTCAACTTGAAAGGAAAGAAAGTCAGAATCATACAATGCTACGCTATGCACCTACAAATAATGTAGATCAAGAGAAGAAGGAGGAATTCTACAGACACATCATTTTTTATTCAAGACACTTCCATCGGATTATGTTCATAGTTGTGATAATTCGCAACAATTTATCAACCTTCCTTGAATTCGCTGTTATGATTGACCTTTACCATAAGACAATTTCTGTGTCTTAGAGACTGACAGATATTCTGTTGTTTTTTTCGAATCAACGAATATTAAATTTGCAGTGAAACTATATATTTCAGTATTTCAGGTTATAAGTAGTTGGCAAGATACTACAGGAATAAAATGATCGATTTCATCATACTCCTGTTCTTGTTCTTACTTTCTTCGAAATGCAAATACTACTCCATTGATTATGATCGCAAAGAAATGGAATTGTTCCAATCCTGAATAAGTGAAACGATGGCTGGAAGATTGACTGACTAATCAAAAGTCAACCAAATAAAAACAGGAGATAAGTTTGTCGAAAAAAGCAACTGGATTTAATCTGTACTGTTAACATTATTGTATCGAAACCTAATTGGTAATAATGAATAGTATCTTGTCAAGCCAGGATACAGTTAGTGTTGGGTTATAGAAGATGTAATTGTCAACTACCAGTTGATAATCCGTTAACAGGTAAAGGTTGTTTACATCTTATTGGCACTGTATAGGGCATGGTTACTTCTGAAATAAAAACAATTGGCTACCTAAGTATTCGTGTGTGTGTGTGTGTGTTCAAAATATTCAGTTATGTTAGAATCAATTACGGAGTTACTTAACTTGTAAATTATTATCTACTTTTAATGAGTTTGGTATTGCAGTCAAGAGTTGTTTACTAGCAGAATTCATGTGTTGTAGGTTTTTATTTAACATAGCAAAGATCACGTCGTCCGATGGGCTCCGATTCTCATTCTTGTTTCACTTGAAAGTGAAGTTGAATAGATTGAAGAAGCGGGGAGTAGTAGCCTGCCATAACTCCAGCTTCATCCTTAGAGTTTCCAATTTTTAATATAGTGCTAAAGTGGATACCAAATATATACTTACAGCCAATGATCTAGGGATTCACAAAGAATGAAATGAGTAATCATAGTGTACCTAGTATCAGATGACTAAATTTAACCACTTTGTTCAGTAGTTTGTGTTGCTTACTCTAAAACTACACCTGACCTAATTAATACTCTTCAGGCTTTAAAAAGTTTCGAACAGCATGGCGAATGAAATGCCTGCTAAGTGCCTACAATCTTCTCATACAGAATTAATAGTTAGTTATAGGCATTTTGTCAAAAAACCTACGACTTACATGCTAATAAGTGCTAAATATGCCTTGTGTTTTCGCATCAAGGTTTTGTCTATGGTTTATTTATCCATGCAATTGAAGATGTTGGATTGGTTTAGAACAAGTAGTGATAAAACAATCTCTAATGTATCGAAAGTAGATCTAAAAACTTGTCTATAGAAATCAGTTCTAAATGATGAAAATGAGTGTAAGCACTGGTCAAATTATACTTCGGTATCTTTTATACAGAAGGCAAGGAAACAGAGTGCTCAGGTGCTAACTTTTTTTACATATGTGCTGAAAAATGCACAAAATTGTTTCAACTGTAATAATGATAGACATTTGTCTCAGTAGACAAGTTACTACTACTACTTCCTTAACATTCTGATTAGTTCTGATTTTATTTTTTTGCCTCCCTCGTATTATGCTCGACTTACGTGGTTGTGAAATGAGGTAATTTAATCAAAATAGCGTGTACTGTAAGGTAGAGTACTAAAAGTGTTAAGGCTGAGAAACAGCATTAATTCACGATATATTTAATCGTTTATTTTAACCTTACGCTGAAAATTAGGCTTTCCTATATTGACCCACTAGGTAAAGACAGACGGACTCAACACGGAACATCGCACACAAGTGAATCAGTTCAAGCTCCCGCACTTTACGGTAGTACATCAAAGAACAGGTAGATAAAAATGCGGTGATATGAAGGTAGACAAATTTGTCTGAAAGAATAAACAATCAGAAGGTAGAGGTCAGTGTGAATATTCAGGCCAGAGAAGATGTCAATGGGTGGATACATCTGCGCCATTGTGACCGATTTTCAGTTGTGTCACTAAGAGTCGTCAACCATTGATTCATATAATCTTGCGGACGGCAGCCAGATCATCTACATGTTGTAAAACGGCTCAACTTGTGGATTGGTGATACTTCTTGGGTTGGACACGTTGAGCTAACTTTCAAAGTAATCCAACCTTTCCTAGCATGGTACGTTGAGGTAAGTGGTGACTTTGCATGCGCAATATATGTCCAAGCCACTTCAGCCAATGAAGGCTCATATCCTCATCAACCGATTTACCTATCCTGCCTAGACCCTTCGCCTGACATCAAAAATGCTCACGTAATGATTCTACTAAACCTGAGCAATGCTACATTGACACTTGTAAGCAAAACCCTGTAACAACTTCATGTCTTCTACTTTCAATGACCGTGTCTTACAGCCGTATAGCACGATAGAACAAACTGGTTGCAGCTCAGTATACTCATCCTCTGATAAATGGTAGGATAACTCACCAGTCGGCGCCACAACTGATGCAAGTTGGCAAATGCTAAGTAGCCCTTCTTTATCTGAGATGATGTTTCGTCAACAGCCAACTCATTCGGGTTGATGCAACTCCTTAAATAATTGAAGTATTCAACACATTCCACCACTTCACACTTTATCTTTGAACTGGGAGTGGTTTCACATCAGTCCTGGTGTATCATCTTACATTTGACAGGTGCCAGCGAAACTCACATCAAACATACTCAGATTTCTGATCAAAGCATTCAGAAGGTCCTGGATTTTTTCATCATCTTCACCTAGCAGGACAACATCGTCTCCATACTCCAAGTTAAACAGATGACCACTATGGAGTAGATTTATTAGTACGTCTGTGACAGTGGGTATCCATGGCGGACACCACTAGTTGTTGTCACCTCTGAAGACAACTCTTCGTCAACCCTTACATGTCTACGTGATTTTGAGTAGAGAGCTTTGATAAGCATCATAAATGTACCCGGTACACCCTTCACAGTCAGACACTGCCAAAACACCTCACCACTAGCGAAAACAAATAGACAGAGACCTAAGGTAATTTGACCCGATAAGTTCAAATATTTTGATACCTTATCTTTATGTAAATCGTGATCCCATATATCTGTTCCCTTTTTCTTTGTTTTTATGAACATGTACAGTCAGCTTTTAAAGTCGTTCTTCACACTGGCTTGGTGTGATGGTATAAATTGTAATGTCATGTGATGATATACAGTTGTATCAATCCCTCCTGTTGGTTAACCATGTATGTTTGCAACCCAACTATTCATAGTTTACAAGATTTTCCGTTTTCTTATTCATTTTTACAGTCCTTCCACTTATTTCTTCTTTAGTCGATTCTATAAACCAGAAAGATTTTCGCCATCTGCAAGATTTTTGGAAATGCTAACCATTTGATTACCATCCAAAATGTCGGTTGAATCTTGATTACTGTGAAGTCTACTGTTATTCAATTCAGTAGGATCAAATGAATCAATTTAACATGTTTTGGAGAGTTTACTGGTGTCTGTAATTTTCCATCGATCATAAAAAATAGGAACGATAGATGTTAGGCTCAAATTTCAGTGAGAATATCATCTCTAAGTGAGAAACAAGTATACCCAGCCGATGTGTTCCAATGTAGAACGAAATGTACATCTTGGTAGTCACCACCAAGTAAACGACATGTTGTTGTGTAGTTAAAAGCGAAGAAGAAAGTAGTATTCAACACTAGATGACGTTTCGAGCAGAATCTATTGCTCATAATCATATCTGAGTAATCATATAACTCTCAAACTTCCTTTATATGGTCTAACACTTCTTCATTCTTTTATCTGAAAGGTGATAAAATTCTCCAGATATCTGCAGTATGCGATGTATCATTTCTGTTACATGGGTTAGGTGTGAATTCAATGAACAAAGATTCTGTGACCAATCTCTCCCTTTACCTAGTTCTATATTTGATACGAGAATTCTCACCCTATCCCACAAACCTATAGTGTAATTACTTTGACCTATATACTTGACTTCACAATCATTGGACGGTAATTGATAGATTGGGTTATTTTTCTCAATTGGCTCTAATGAATGTTTTAGCGTACAAAGTTTCTCTCCGAACGAGTTTGTGGGTCTGAATGCCATCCTAATCCTGTGCCAGTCAAAATAACAAAACACAAAAACTAGCGAAACACAACGGTAGACCCTACTAAAATAAGTAATTTAGAGAAAAACTCGACTATCGCTCTGCATCCACTGACCCAATAATTACACTATAGGTTTGTGGGATAGGGTGAGAATTCTCGTATCAAATATAGAACTAGGTAAAGGGAGAGATTGGTCACAGAATCTTTGTTCATTGAATTCACACCTAACCCATGTAACAGAAATGATACATCGCATACTGCAGATATCTGGAGAATTTTATCACCTTTCAGATAAAAGAATGAAGAAGTGTTAGACCATATAAAGGAAGTTTGAGAGTTATATGATTACTCAGATATGATTATGAGCAATAGATTCTGCTCGAAGCATCATCCAGTAAATAATAATATGTCACTGTGTACCATATCAAGTGAACAATCAAATATGGAATTATACTCTGCCACAATGCGCAAGTTTTTCCTTTACATTACTGTTCAATACTCATTGGGTCCATTAATAGTGTGAATTAGTTTATACGGATTAAATTTCCGAAGCTTAAACTATCTCTCAAATAAATAGTTTTTAATGCTTATAGTCAGTTTAAGACAAATAAGTAATCACTATACAAAAAGGTTGAATAAATAAACTTACTTTTATACCTTGAGGTGGTTTGCATGTAGCATTATACTTTTGAACCAATTCATCTTTATCGAAAAATGAATAACTATTATTATAAAGTTGTTCATTATTTGTATGATTTATGAATGGATTAGTTGAATTGATAACTTGAACAGTTGTTTGTTTGAATGTATTCAAAATACAAGCGCGTATAGTTAATGGTTCAATAAGTGAAAGAAAAGCAGTGCTAGGTAAACTGCTAGCTGAAAAAAGAAAGATGAACAATAATACAAATCATAAGAATCATAAATATGTGTTAAAACTACTAATTGGATACAACAAGGTTAGTTGTGGTTTCTCTGGTTTATACAAATACATCTCTTGGATTGTCAACATGAAGTTGCTTACTCGCTAGTGACCTATAAGTGTCACTAATCTAGTCTTACAGGACATCAGTAGAGGCTCGAATAGCTCAGTAGTAACATCTTTCACTGCAATACTGAGTGATGTGTGTTCGAATCTCAAGCGGAATATCAATACCGTCGTGGTTGGAGATACAGCTGTCTGATGAGTGTCAAAAAGCATGAAACCTAGGTCATTCAGGGATTCCTATCTATTGCCTACACCTAACTAATATCTATCTCGGCGTATCATGATGATGAATTGTGACCTGTTCAAACTTGTAATAACTATGGTTAAAAATTATCAGACTCCTAATTCCTATCCTGAAAACCTACTATTCAGCATTCTCTCAGAAGAAAGTGAGCTGTTCGGAGAGAAAGAATCGTAATGCATTCAGCACCCTTGTGCACATTCATGCACCGGGCAATCAGCCACATCTATTGTGTTAAGGCTAATGATACATTATACCTGGCTGACAAACCTCGGTAGGTGCAGCGACGATGGAACCCTGACCCACTGATTGGAAATTAACTCTGTAAACTAATGGACCATAATTTCATATGCAAACATTTGGCTGACTGAAATGCTGATGGGAACTGAGTGTTCAGCTGAAACATTGACATTCATCTTGTAGTATCAAGGTTTCAATCTATTTGATGGCTAACAGTGGAATCCAGGACATACGTTTCACTCCACCTGGGACTCACCAACTGGACACACTCATGTGTCAGTGAGTGATGTGCAGTATCCAATATCCATCGCTTCAAACGCAAAAATATTTTTCACTAGGTTACTGGTAGTAAAGTTGTCGATGCATGTTCTTGATTGTTAGCTCCTCTGTAGTACGACAAAGTCATCACCGTCATCATCATCTATTAACGTACGATCAGGCATTACTGCATAGTGGTCCTAGTTGCCTCACCACATATCATCAAGTACATCAAGTAAGAAGGCAGTAAAGTGGAAGTTGAAGAAAAGAAAACTCAGTCAAAAGAAATATCAAGTAGTAAAGGAGAGAAAGAAGGAAAGAGAAAATGGTGAGATTTGTTATAGCGTCGTTAAGATGAGGATAATGTGTGTGGGGAAACATTCGCACCACTGACGTGGGTTCTGAGTTATGTGATCACCTAGAGTTAGTCTCCAACCAGTGGTTTCTGTTATCCGGCCAACCCGAACCGGCTAGTCCGCATCACCTCACATGATTGAAAGCAGCAGTGAAAGACTTCATACATTGATGCCACGTTTTAATGTGGCCACCTCAGGCCTTCTTCTAGCCTGAATCTACTTCATCCAAGATTGTGTGACGAGTCATATGATGGCTAGGCACACGTAACACGTGTCCCAACCATCTCAGTCGATGAATATTCACAGCCTCGTCAACTGATTTACCTCTTCTCCCTAAAACTCTACACCTGACCTCTGCGTTAGTCACGTGGTGACATCACGTAATACGGCTTATACTACGAAGGCAATGGTGGTCAAACACCTGAAGCCTTCTCATGTCTTCCACCTTCAATGGCCATATTTCACAGCCATGGAGTAGAACAGAGCGGACCCTTAGTAGTCAATCGGATGTCATGACGGCGCTATAGGTAGCTTAAGTTGGCGAACGCCAGCCGAGCCTTTTGTATTCATGCAGATATTTCACCGGCCACTGAGCCATCAGGGCTGATCCTACTTCACGGGTAAGTGAAGTGGTTGAAAAACTCAATCACTACACTCTTTATTGTTAGCCGCGGTGGAGCACCTCTGAAGACCAGTCATGGAGTAACGATTTGCAATTGGGTGGTGAGAAACGCATCCTAAGCCTTCTCAAATTTACACTCAAAGTGTTCAGAAGACTCTGCATCTTGTCAGCGTCTTCACTTAATAGGACCATGTTATCTGCATATTCTAGGTCTAACGAAAATTTTAACCGATTAGGTCAACCTCTGTGTAATTAGAGAGGGAAACCTCTATGAGAATATCTACGATTAAAACGAATAAATATAGAGAGAGTGGACAGCCTTGATGGACACCACTCGACGAGTACAGCTTCCGGGATATCTCAACATAGCCTCTAACACGCCTGCAGGTGTTCGAGTAAAGAACCTTGAATAAGGTGGTGTGCTTGCTCGACACGTCTTTAAGCGAGAGACATTGACATAAGACTTCTCGATCAACAGAGTCGAATGCCGCCTTCAGATCAAAGAAATACCGCTAGTGTCATCTCCGATGATTCTCTTTTTTATTTTTTAAGATTATAGAGAGTTGTTGTTGTTCCTAATAAGAGTCGAATCCAAGACTGATCACTCCAGAAGTCAGAGCTTTATCCCCTTCATCATTATTATTAAATTAAAATTACAGACAGTATCGAGGTATGCGTGCAGGAGCCAAAATGCCAATAGAAACCGATCGATTGAGTTAAATTAACAACGGGAAATTTCAAGCAGTGACATAGAAATGACGTCATCTTGCTGTACAAATGATGTTCTTGTTGGATTGTTCAGACAGTGACGGAGATATTGTATGGGAAACTAGTGAGAAAACTTTATGTTACGTCTTGCTGATTAACACTAATATATATCAGCCACTGTTATGAATCATTAATACTGACTAGTCAGATCACGTGAATCAGAACATCGGATGGGTTAACCGATCGTTTGGGAAACAGCTAATCATCAGTTTATTTAAACAGTTAGAGATTCTTCTAAGCAAGGATACATAAACTTTTGAAAATAAAGGTCAGGACATCTTAGTTCCTTCGTTTGTTTTGTTGTTTTGTTTAAATACTGAAGTAAACCTCTTTAACAGGCAAAATTAGGTTTATATCGTGAATGGATAGTGTGTACTGTGATTATTTTGTGATTTATTCTGTTGCACTCACCAATTCCTGCATACTATACCGATTTAAACTAGGTTCAGGGCTATCATGTTACTGTAGATCAATTCTGGGACTTCCCTTATAAACCGTTAGTTTAGAAACTGATAATCAAAAGCCGATAAGAGATTTTCAATATAAACTAAACACCAGAGAAGGCAAAAATATCAGTAATGAAGCAAGTTTGTGTACCGATAGAAATATGTACCAGGTACCTTATTTTACCTTAAGTGATACTGCATAATATCCATGATGTTGTAAACATTTTGGTGAGTAGCAGCGAAGTTCAGGACACGCATTTCGTCCTATTTGGGATGGATGGATGTACCTGCACCTCTGTGAGTGATGCCTGGTATCCATCGCTTCAGATACCAAAAATCAAGCAATCTGGTCTTGTATAGCAACGGAAAATTAAAAACATCCAGACATCTGTTACCCGTTGCATAGGAGATGACTATTATACTAAAGTGCCCTAGTGAATAACGATTTGACATTTAAAGCGATGGATATTGGGTTCGACTCTGAGTGCGAATAACAGCATTCAGTGGGATGGAGGTACATCTAGCTGACGAGCCCCTGATTAGACGAAACCTAAGTCCTAGATCCCATTGCTAGTTACCGAGATGAATTCACTATTATACCAGTGGTTTATATGCATTTCTTGAGCAAGCAAATAAGCTGGCTGGTTAGTGTGAGGCATTATTAAGCTCATATTAAGCAGGAGGTCGAAGTGATGCAATAAATGATAGTGGATACAGAACCAAACTTTGTTATCCCACCAGCGGGAATACGCGCTTCCATGCTTCATTTTTGGAACGCAACACTGAGTATATTCCATCCTGTTAAAATTTACATACTCAATCCTAAGTAACCAAAAAAGAATTCGAGTAAAGCTCAACATATTCGAATTTTGCTCTTGTCGTTCTCTTGTTGTAAATTATTCAAATCTAACTGATGACATTCCGTTAGCAAATTATCATCATTATAATTTGTCCCTTGGGTTCCTAATGGAACATAGGGCCTCAGTAGCAGGTCACCATTTCACTCTCCTCTCTGCAGTCTTTGGAATCTGTATCCCCCATTGCCCACATGCTTCCATTTCTTCCTCACATGATCTCCTTCATGTCACCCTCGCCTCGGCCAGGCCAACTCGTTGTTTCCCATTTCGGGTTCCACTAAATGACCTAGCCTGACCTGTCGCGTGATGTCCCCGAACCGTCCTCTCAGTGTATGCCAAATCCAATCCAATCCATCTCCACTTTCTTCTGCATATTTCTTGGGCGACAGGTTCTAGGTTTTTGAAGACCTGTCTTGCTGTGTTTCTGACCCTGCCTTTGACGTCCTAATCTGTGTCGCCACCGCCTGTGGTTGAGACGATGCTTGCTTGTTTAGGTGGTAGGTGAAAGAGACAACTTCCTTCAGATTTCACCCGTTCATGGTGATTGGAGCTTGTTGTTGTTGGTGGTGAGGTTGGTTGGGTATCTTCATCACCTCTGTCTTCTCTACATTCACTTGAAGTCCGTTTTCGCTGCCCTGCCTCACCTCTTCTCTCAACTTGTGGGATTTCGCCTGTAGATCTTCAAGTTTGTGTGCAGTTACACACAAGCCATGCGCGAAATCCAAATCTTCTTCTAGGATCTTCTCATCGGTCCAGCCAGTGTATACCCCTCTTCTCACTCCTCACTGTTTGCTGCATGATCCAGTCCAGTCCAGTCCAGTCGACCACAATCAGGAAGATAATCGGTGATAGTAGACAGCCTTGTTTCACTCCTGTCTTCACTTCGCTTCAAGGGCATCACTGAGCTGAGCTTCCCATCGTGGATCAATTGGCATATGGCATGCTGACACAGTATATAGCTGCTGTTGAATGAGGTTGATAAATGTTTGTGGCACTGAAACCGTAGTGTTGAAGCAGCTGCCTACCAAATTACTTCTCGGTCGACGCTATCAAACGCCTTTTCAAAGTCGACGAAGTTGAGGTAAAGATCCAGTTGACTGCCATTCTATGCTCTGTTATATGATGATGTGTAGAGTAGCGTTGGAATTTGCTGCGCACTTGATTTATTCTTCCTGAAGCCAGCCAGCGTGTTCTGGTCGTAATTTTAAACGCGGAGCATTTTTTAGTCTCTCCAGGATTTGTTATCACATAGTTTATACTTAGAAGAAATACCATAAGTATATGAGTATTCACCATTAGACTCTGAAATATCATTAAAATGAAAATAAAATATAAAACATGACCTATCGAACAGGCGAAATCATATTTTTGTCCTTACCTATATTTGATACTGTATTCAACAGTGTCATGTATGTTCCACCAACAGTAGGATCACTGATTTTTGCATGAAATGCTACTTGTACCACCATCATTATACTTGATATAATCGAGTATATAACAAGTTTACATAATAAGAATGCATAGAAAGGCCAAGTGAATGAATAGTTCATATCCTTTTTTATATTTAATGAATAAGATATTGAATTTATTGTATCTGTAAAATTGTTTAAATCACTTCTGTTTGAATTAATCAAATTTATTTGTGTTTGATTATTCGGTGAAATTCGAAAATACGTAGAGTAATGAATAATTGGAACTGTTAAACAAGATACTAATAATCTGAAATTAGTAAAAGAAGATATTTAATAAAATTTAGGTTTATTGAATCTACTATAAAGCTTTAAATAAATATTTAGTTTCTGGTTTTTATTCATCGTAGACTGACATCAGTTGGAGGAACAAAGAAAACCTGGGAGCACTGGATAGCTGTTTCGTCCTCAGCAGTGAGCACTCACGACCCCACCAGGGATCGAACCCGAGACCTCCAGGTTCCGCGGTCAGTTATCATATTATATTTTTTAAAGCATTCCGTATTGAGGATGGATATACCCAAATTTTACAATGTTAGTGAAATTTTGACTTTGTAAAGGAGGGGTTCGATAATTTACCATTAAAGTTTTATTAACAATTATTATTATTATTAACAATTATTAACAGTTTGGCATTATAACGTGTCACCCATTAGAATGAATTTTGATGTCGTCATCTGGGGTAGAGTTTTGTCCATTACTGATTGCAGTTGTCAGTAGAATTCCTCCTTCTTCTCTTGATCTACATTATTTGTAGGTGTATAGCGTAGCATTGTATGATTGTGACTTTCCTTCCTTTCAAGTTGAATTCATCTTGTTGTCATGATCCTGATGCTGGAGGAGATTGGTTCCCACTGCCTGAAAACATTCGATGCTTTTCAAGGAGACATCATGATAGCCACTCCAAAACTCAGTGTGCTGGTGATTGTCATCTGGGTGACAATATCGGAGTAGGTTATTGACTTTCCAGTTGACAGTTTATAGAGTCCACTTCCATTCCATCTACTTTCACAGATTCCTAGCCTAACACTTCTTCGCTTTACCTTCTCATCTCTTTTGCAATCTGGCCAGCCTTGCCAGCCAGCCAGCCAGCCAGCCAGCCAGCCAGCCAGCCAGCCAGCCAGCCAGCCAGCCAGCCAGCCAGCCAGCCAGCCAGCCAGCCAGCCAGCCAGCCAGCCAGCCAGCCAGCCAGCCAGTCAGCTTCAAACATTGTGTGGACATTCCATGTGGCCATCCTCACTTTCGCTCTCATCGAGGGAGATAAGACACGTCGGCCAATTGGCTTCCTGAAATCAGGCTTTCACCAACCGGGTTGACTTCGTCTCACCGATTCCAGAGATAAATAGGCTTACTTTTACTTTTTATATTTTCTTTGTGCTTTGAAGTTTGTGTAGCGGTTGGATTTATTTTACGGAGTAGGATTGCTAGCCCTATACCGAACTTTGGCTGTTTATCCGGTCTTAGGACCGGCTAGTAACTAGTGAACTAGTTAAGTATATGAATATCATTTTATATTAAGTTATTGATAAATTTTAGCACAAATCGAAGTCTACTTAGGCAATCAGTTTTGAAGTACATTTCGAAATCCTTGTGATTACTATGATTTATTATTTCTAAATAATTAACTTATTTTGCTTTAATTTAATTGGTTGTTGCTAGGAGAGTGAGACGGAATGCGCATTCCGTCCTATTTAGGACTCATCAGCCAGATGTGCTTGCACCCTTGTGAATGTTGTCGCTGGCTACAACCAGTTAAATTATAATGATAGGTATTCAGGTAATATCGAAAGATCCTCATAAGAGCCCATATGTCAACAGATATTGTTTAATTCCATACAGTATAACAATGAAGAATTACATGCATATTAATAATTAGTAATAATTAAATTGTTTCCCTTAGATTAAAAATATATTGACCTAAAATGAATCACAGAGATAATTCTGAAAGTATTTCACACAAACTCTTTACAAGATACTAAATAATTGGTAGTATACAACATGAACTAACGTCATTCGGTAAATCATTAACGACGTCTGAAGACTTTGCAGATGTTTTGTCCCAGTTTAGGACTCTTCAGAAGTGCTCACACAAGATCCGGCTAGGGATCGAATCCACGACTTACAAGTTTAACGGCGAGCAGGTTACCATTGAACCATTGGATAGGAAACCACTGGGTTTTTCCCTGCCTCGAACAGTTTGTGGTATAGAAAGGCAACTACCTTGAAATCTGTCATTCTCTACAAATCTCCAAGCTGAAATTGCTGACATCCTTAAATGTTTAGCTGACTTTTTGATGATGAAAAGTGTAAATCAGCCAATTAAGTAAAACAATGGACAATATACTTATTGCATAATTGAAACTTCTGATAATAATTTCAGAAGCGTTTAAAATAAATAATCTTCTGCCATTAACATAGAATATTCTTACTGAGTGATGATAGTCGGTGAAATAAAAACTTGAACCGTGGCCGGATTCGAACCATCCAAATCTGGTCCAAACTTTCATGTCACTTTCAATCATCACGCAGTATCTATATTAGTCTATCAAACCACAGCTATCTCACTTATATAGTCAGAAGGGTAATCAGTATGATGCTTCCTCTCTTTAATTCAATTAGCTTGGGATTGGGATGAGAGGTCTTGACTAGGCAACCGGTGTGAATACAACCAAGCGATAGTAATGTGTCACGAATTCACATGGTAGTCAGGCGAAACGCATGGTGATTGAAGTGAAATAAAAATTAAGTCAGCAGTCGGATCTCGTAGCTCAGTTGATAGAGCATCTGGTCGGAAACTCGGTGGTGGCTGATTTGAATCCAGTCGCGGTCTTAATTTTCATTTCATCTTCAATCATCACCTAGTATAAATACTAGTCTGCCAAACCATTGCAACCTAAGATAGTCAGAATGACGACATAATAATGTAGGTAGAGAGCATTCAATATCAATTTCTCAAGGTTTTATCTTTTACGTAGACTAAATTCACAATAATCAGCGTGCTTATGAAATATACACCCATATGTACCTCTACCCCACAGTGAAAAGTTTTCGTGTTCATTTAATCATAAGGAAAAATTGACTGCCGGTATCCGAGATGCTTCCAATTTAATCTTTATGCGACGTTTCTAACTTAAGTGGTTATTATTTCGCCCAAACAGCGTATGGAATGAATCATTTTGAGCATAGTTTTAATTAATTTTTTCACTTATTGTAACAGTTTTGTACTTATGCGAACGAAATAATAACTACTGTTGTCAGTCAGGCTATATTTAGGTTAAACACCAACATACCGGGTACCAGAAGCCGGAAAAATTCTGTTGAATATATAAACATCTGATTAAAACAAAACAAACCAATCAATGAAGTGAATAAAATGAAATAAAGACAGATAGTTTATATTTACTTTGGTAGAAAAGCAATTATAAATACCCCCAACGGTCTTGGTCCATTAGTCCAACGTGTAACTAGAAGAGGCAAAACAGCTTGTATTGGCAACAATAATACACCAATTAGCGCAAGTCTCTCCTTTGGAAATCCATGTTCAATCAATTTTAAGCTGAATACTGTCTCTGGTGCAGCAAGGCAAACCTTTAATTTAAAAGAAAAAACAAACACTTTAAAATAAGTAATATTACCAAATTCATTTTGGTACTGTGTAGGATTTACTCATTAATTTTAGGTTACTATTCGTCATGGACAGATATCAGGTGGAGAAACATGGGATATCTGAGAGGACTGGTCACCTGTTTTGTCTTAGTGACTGATACTGACTGAGAAAATCAACGTAGAACCTCGCACATAGATGCATTGGCTCAAGTTGCCACATTTCACAGTAGTACACCGAAGAACAAGTAGACAGAAAAGGAATAGTATCACAGTAGACAAAGGTGTATGAGAGAATGAACAGTTTGAAGATAAAAGTTAGTGTGAATATTTAGATGTCAAGGAGTAAATACATCTAATGCATTGTGACCAATTTCCAGCTGCGTCACCAACAGTCGTCAACCATCAATACTTTCCATCCCAACGATCCCAAACCAAGCAAGCTACATCTCCCAACATAGCTTAAACTAACAGTCGTGAACTTCGTCGACTGATGTCACGTCTCCATTTGGCCACCCTGAACCCTTTTCAACCAAACAAAACTTCACCTAGCATAGTACATTGAAGAAGGTGATGGTTCGGCATGCGCCGTACATGTTCAAGCTATCTCAGTCGACGAAGGTTCATAACCTCGTCAGTTGACTTGCCTGTCTTGCTTAGTACTTTTCGCCTGACCTCAACATTGCTCATATTGTGATTCCACCAAACCCGAGCAATGCTGCGAAGATATATATGATCGAATCCCTGCAACCGCTTCATATCGTCTACTTTTATTGGCCATTTCTCACAGACGTACAACAGGACAGAACAAACTACAGCTCAGTAAACTTGTCCTTTGATGGATAGCTGGATATCTTAGCGACGCCAGAGATGACTAAAGTTGATAAGTGCCACACAAGTCATCTCTTCTAGTGTAGGACTTCTCGAATTCAGGTGATCACCGGTTTACTGGAATTGACAGAGATTCTTCTGAACAACGCTATATAAAATTTCGGGTATAAGGGTCAAAAAAATTTTGCTTCTTTTCATTGGATTCCCTGGCGACGTCATCGTGCCCACCGCTGAAGAGTCCCATACTAGGACGAAACAGCTGTACAGTGCTCCCAGGTCTCCAATATTTCTGCAACTGATGACAGTCCATGACAAAATACCAACCCGAAATTAATCTTGTTAATTAATGATATCCTTTTTTTGCGAAATGTAATGTCAAAAGTCAAATGTGAACAGTAGCTCCTCATCGGGTTCCACGGTTATATAATTAAATTCACTGGCGACGAACTTGCGACGAATGAGTCCTAAAGAGGATGAGAAGTGATAATTACAATTAAGTGGTTCAAGTTTGTGGTTGCTGGTGCAACTTATATACGTGTGTCATTTGTGGTGGTCAGTAATTTTCAGGCTTAGTTGATCTTATAGCTATAGCTTCCCCGATATGATGGTGTATACAAATGGCAGGTGGTAGAGCCTTTGGAACGCGGTGTATCACAGCAAAAGCTGTGTTAGCATCTATTTGATGTCTTGTGTCTGACAGATGTGCTAGTATAGAAATTTTAATGGATTCGATCTCAGGTTTGGTATTCACCATGGACTGAGAAGTCTTGACCGGTGGGGCCAACCAAGTCGAACATGAGGTCAGTTATTCAACGGTGATACTGTATGATAGTCGCACTATATCGCGAACTGACAGAAACTGGAAATATGAACCAGTGACTCAGTGGTATTGTGCTGGCCATGAGGCCGGAAGGTCCTGGGTCCGATCCCTGGCGGGAGGGATCACGGGTGCGGACTGCTGAGAAATCTCACATTGGAACGAAACCGATGTCTGGCACTCCCAGGTTCCCAATGTTTCTTTAACTGATGTGAGTCTACGATGAATGACAACTTGAAATCAATAAATCCTTGCAAACCGAATTGGTTTTTGATCTCACCCTTTACCAAGCAAACCCGTAGATATTCTCGCACGATGAGAAGCACATACCTAATAATGAGCAAGTATATATTATCCTGCGGAATCAGTTGAACTGGCATGTGCATGATGATTAGGTCAAATTAGGTGAGGTATACTTAATTCCTGTATTGAACAATGGTTGGCTATTAGCGGATGAGCACAGACGTTCTGAGTTCAACGTTCTGTTTATTCCTCTGGATAAAAGTTGTGAAAAAACTCCGCTTGAACTATCTCTGTTGAACAGCAAATGCAGAAACAGCGTTTTCTCCTGTACCCTCGGTAATTCATTTTTGTGAATATCATGAACAACACTTGCGTTGATAAACTTTTCAGGGTACCTGTTCTCCCTTAAAGGATCTTGATGGAATTGTAATTCCTTCTCGATACACTCTTCGTAGCACAGCGATCTCACAGAAAATATTAAAAATCGACTAACATTTCGTTTGAAATTCACTGATGTAAGGCTAAGGAAGTATATATACTGTGCTTTAGTCATCTTCTTTTATACACTTGCTTTTAAGGAACCATCTTTTCTTGTAAGAAGGACATCAAAAAAATGATGGGAGTTACTACCTTCGCATTTGTGTGTAAAATAAACTGCTGGTTGGAGGCTATTGAAGTGGTTCAAGATCAAATCATTGGACATATTTACCATAGAATAAAAACATATCATCCATGTACCAACAATATAGGTTGGTAACGTCATTCTTCAACGGTTCAGGTTCTAATGTTTCTGAAAATATTTCAGTAGATATTATTATTATTATTTGTCCCTTGGGTTCCTAATGGAACATAGGGCTTCTCAGCAGATATTAGCCTGTTAATATGTTAACAAATTTGACTTTATAACTGTCGAACCTGAGCGAAGTTATTGACAAGAATATTCTAAGTTCATACTTGACCTTTAGTAAATGAAATAAGAATCTTTAAATGTCTGAAATGTTAAATCAGTTTAAATATTTACCAGGAAGTAAGTAGTAAGTAGTAGCAGTAAGTAAGTGATACTTTGAGTGTTACCGGTGGGGTCAAACATGAAGACAGTTACTAAACGATGCCACTGGATGCAGGTCACGCTACATCGTAAACTGAAGGAAGTGAAAAATATGGTCCATTGGATCATGACCCAGTGATTCAATGGTAACTTTCCGGCTGAGGGACCTGAAAGTCCTGGATTCTATCACTGGTGAGGAGGAGTAGTGAATGCGAACTGCCGAGGATTCCGACACTGGAACTAAACATCTGTATGATGCTTCCACTTCTATAATGTTTCTCCAGCTGATTTCAGTCCATGATGAATACCAATTTGAAATGATTAACACATGGTCCTAGACAATGTCATCTTTTTTACTTTAGTTATATTCACCTGATCAGAATTTTTTAATCTCAAATATTTTCAAATAAATTAATAGGATATAATAACCTGAAGAGAATGATTATTTGAAACCTAAAAATTCCAGATTCTAGTTCTTTTTTTCAGGTGAAAATGTAGTATTGCTTCTGCTTTCAGTACTGGTAATCAGAGCATATAATGCATGGAATCCGGCTGAAACTGAATAGGTCAGAATTCACTTTGAAAGTCTTCTTCTAATTATTTAAATGGATTGAATATTGAGAGTAATTTATAAGAAATGTTTGCGCCTAAGTTTCCTCATTTTTATAGCCTGTTACATATTCCATGACTATATTTTAACATTTACTGATATTCATTAGGAAATACCTTGTACTTTGAGCAATCAGAAACTTTTGTGTGCTTCCTGCAATTTATTAACCCCTTCAGTGTGAAATGTTTTCACGTTTTCCTGCTACATCAGGTGAGATAAATTAAAATCATCACTTTTCTAACTTTAAATTACACAATCAAACGTTGAGTTTTACAATTTTACTTTCATTCCAACCTCATTAGATGATATTATGGTATTCAGAATGAAGTAAATTTAAATTTACCGCTTGAAACGTTTAATTATCAGTGGCATAAAAGTCAGTTGTAAATAATCAATTGCATAACAAAAGGATAAATCTACTGAACCATAAGTACCCACTATGAGATTATTAGGCAAAAATAAATTATCTGACAACAGTGTTGATTCCCGGTTGTTAATAATTGACAATGGAATCATAAAACATGAAGTAAATAGACTTCTGTCTTAAGATGGCAAGAAATTATAGCTTCATGCTTGAAAAAACTCATCATGTCAGCCCTTTTGTAGAATATAGAAAAAAAGATCGAGTCAAAATAAAGGAAGATTATCCAAGATGATTCAAAAAAGGTTTGAATTCAAGTAATGACCAGTTGACGAAATATAACATTTGCATAACTATCGATACTAAAGTCAAATCAACTGAGAAGAGACGAAAGAAGTATAGACTGTTTTCATGGGCCTTGTGAGTAGTATGATATATGAACAAGTATAGGCGTCGCATTAATATGAGTAAGTGAAGTAGAACCAAAATCCTAACAGTGTTATACTTTTAACAGTTAGTTTCAACAGCACAGAGTGTACCCAAAAGTTTTCAGGTCCACAGCTAACCTTATTTCTGTCTCGATTGTATTCACCATTTCTGTATCCCGATACATACTGACAACTGAAATTATCCCAAAAATGATTGAAATATGTGAAGTTTCAATGAATACCATAAGCTTTCACTAACTACTGCGTTCATGAGGTACCCTAGAAGATTTACTCAGTTTGAAAACCTTCCAATATGAAAGGCAATAGCGGTTTTATTTATTATTTTCCTAAATCTTGTTAATATTTAAGTACAGAGATGATTAAAACATCACCAATAAAAAAATATTATCGTAAGTAAAAAATGTCCACGAAAACAGAAGTAGTCAAATACAATTATGTATTGGTGACCTATACTTCGATTAATCTAAAATCTATTTCAATAATTATGTACGGCATTGATTCACTTGTACTAATCTTTCTAATTTTACAAAATATATTATCCCACGATAATATTCGACAATTTTCAAGTGGAATTTGATGAGACTGTGGCTCACCGGTCTAGAGAGTTAACTTTCAACAAATGGGTC